ATTATGTGTGTATGTGTGTTTGTTTGTTTTTTGTTTGCATGTTTTATGTGTGTACTATGTATGTACGCACGCACGTACGTATGTCTGTATGTCTGTATGTCTGTATGTCTGTATGTCTGTATGTCTGTATGTATGCATACACATGCATGCAATCATATAACAACATACACACGCGCCCACACGCACGTACACATAAACCATCAACCATGGGACCCAGCAGGAATCTGAGTCGACAAGCTCATCTGTGGGCAGGCAGTGCCTCGAGTGGAGGGAAAAGTCTCTAGTTTCAGTCTGGGGTTTGGGATTCGGGATTTGGGAATTTAGGCTGTTGAGGTTTTCGCCTAGGGTTTGGGAAGTGTTTTTGGGATTCGGGGGTTTGGGGTTGAGGTTTAGGAGTTGGGGTTTAAGATCAGGGGTGTTACGGTTTCGGGTTGAGGATGTGTGGCCGAGGGCTTGAGGCTTTGTGGGCTGCAGTGTCCACAGTTCCGACTATCTAACTGTCATGCAGTTTAGGGTTTAGGGTTTAGGGTTTAGGGTTTAGGAGTCATGCAGCCAAGGAGATGAGTTCATGAAATTCTCCAGGTGGTTGCCAGCGACTCTTGGACTTATCAGCAACATTTTGAACTGTGACCCTAAACCCTCTACGCAACGAAGCTCTTGCCTGAAAGAAACCCTAAACCCTAAACCCTAAACCCAAACCCCAAACCCCAAACCCTAAACCCTAAACCCTAAACCGCTGAAAGAAGCCTGAACCCAAGCAGGGCGGGACCTGGCTTCCGGAGACCCCCGGCAGGCGGAGACCACTGGAGCCTTTCAGACCCTTTAGACAGAGATCAGATCAGCCCTGAATCCTTACAGCTAACCCTAAACCCTAAACCCTAAACCCTAGACCCCGAAACCCTAAACCCTAAACCCTAAACCCTAAACCCTGAACCCTAAACCCTACACCCTAAAGCGCAAACTACTCTAAAGCCTTAGCCCCCCCTTTTGGAGCTTCCCGGGCCCTCCCGGGTCCCCGAGGCTTCCCGCCGCGATGCTCTGCCACCTGCGCTGTGCCGAGCCCGAGCTGGGCGCGATGCTGCGAGCCTCGCGAGGTTCAAGGGCTCTGCAGGCACCCCTGGAGGAAAAAATAGGGTTTAGGTTTAGGGTTTAGGGTTTAGGGCTTATATGATGGTCCTGACAAAACAGAGCGTTTCAGATTTCTCGGCTGACGCGTTTCGCAGGCCGCAGACAGCAGCTTGAGCGACAGGGAAATCGAGGAGGTGCCGGATCGAGCGGGCTTGTTGCATGGGAATGCAAGGGCTTGCGGCGGAAGCATGATGTGTGCATGTGCTCTGGTGACGATGATGATAATGAGGACGATTTTCTCGAAGCGCTTTTGTTGGTTCGCCTGTTTTCCTACACGACATGTTTGTAACATGGGTATGTGCAGATGGTATATCTGGGGTCTCTATAGGGATGCTACGCAATAAGGAATCTTGCTACCCCTATAGGACCCGTAACGTAACCCTAAACCACCTTAAACCTTAAACCTTAAACCCCTAAACCCTAAACCCTAAACCCCTAAACCCTAAACCCTAAACCCCTAAACCCTAAACCCTAAACCCTAAACCCCCAAATCGTAAACCCCTAAACCCCAAACCCCTAGACCCCCAAACCCCTAAACCCGAAACCCCCTGACGCCTTTGGCCCTGGGCCTGGGAGGTGCTCGGCCGGCCTGAAGGAATGTCCTCCCCCCGCTACGTCTACCTCCGGATCATGGCCCGGGGCTTTTTCAGGGACCAAAACCTCGCATTTGAGGGTTCAGGGATCAAGCAAGCTCGTTAGGGTCGAGGTTTTGGGGCTTAGGGATTTGGGATTGGGATGAGGGCTCTGGTTGTAGGGAGAAGGGGTTCGAGTGTGTGTGGGGGGGGGGGGGGGGTTGAAAAAGCAGCAAGGAGAGTTGCATGTTTTCGGACTTGAGGTTTAACCGGGTGTAGGATTATGTACCTAGGTATCCACACGCATACGCACAGAGATGTATATATATATAT